TCGAACTGCACCGGGGAATGATAAAGCTTAGCTACCTCGCAAGCCAGATCCTCATCCACAGAGGAGAGCCCATGCCAGTCAGCAGGCTGCTTTCTTTTCAGCATGCCGACACATGGCCCAGCCCATTGCCGAGCCACCGGTCTACTCCCCCNNTGCAATCACGATCCAATCGCAGATCACATGTGAAGCTGACTGCGCGCAACAGACTCCACGTCTGAAGACCACAACGAGCATGCAAGAAAATTCAACTGGAAAGGAAAATCATTTTCATTTTTCTTAAACAACTTTTCCCCCGGCCCACCCGCCCGGCTCAAACCACGAGACAAACTCATTGGGAGAACCCAAGAGGCAATGAAGCCCGCTTGTCGGCACACGAAGCAGCCCAAGCCCCAGCGGCCCTTGCTGCACATCCTCGCTTCTAACCACGTCCCCACCGCAGAGCGATCCGACGTCAAGCTGGCAACCTGCAACTGGCACTACAAGGCTGTGACCTCTAAGACCTCTTGCGCACTAGGTGAATCTGGAAAAGCCCTGCCTCGCACCAGTGCTCCTTCTGCCGCAGAAACAAGCAACGGGCACAAGTTGTCGGATCCTTGCATGCCTGAACGTGCGAGATGTCGTCTGCAAGCTGGCTGGTCTTCATGCCTTTGTGCGACACCGCGATGCTGCCCTCATGGAAGCTGGAAGCTCCATGTGCGTGCTGTGCCCAGCGTGCAACCCTTGGCTGGCGGACCAGGCCCTCTGTGTTTTTGGGCACGCGTGCTGGCGGCTCGTCATCAAGGCCATCCAGAAGAGACATGATTGCCCCGCAGCCTCTACCGGTAATGGCAACACTGACAAGTCGAAACTGAACAGAAAAGGCAGACGGTGGCAAGCATGACCGCCGCAACAAGTAAGCCGTGCACACATGGACCAAAGCTTTGGCATAAGTCAACTCAACCAGTGTGACACAAATCATCACATCGGCGGGCCTGCTGATGCCGCGCATTTCACGGCTAAGCCTGCCAGCATCGAGCTAAGAACCACGAGAAACCAGTCAATGACATTCGCAGGATGCACGGAGACATGCTTTCAGCCGAAGAGTCAGCAGTCAGAAGCTGTTGCCGGACAGGCTGTTGCCGCTTTTCTCGAAAAGCCCAGCCTAATGTGCTACCAAGTTTGAAGCCAAGCCACCCTCTCGCGATCTTCTGAGAAGGACGGCAAATTACTACTACGTATTTTTGGTGAAGACAGAACCTTCGCTCCCGGCAAATCGCCCTGCGATGCACATGCCCACGGATTTTCAGCTGGTGCTTCATCTGTGATTCTACTCAGCAGGGGCAACGGTCCAGCTCCTCGGACATTCTTGGCAGCAGGTCATCCGGTTCTGAAGCGTCCTCATTTGCAGTTTTCTCTGCAGAGCGGCACGCCCTGTCCTCCACAATCCCAATCTCTGCGAATGGACTCTGTTCCTCAGCTTCCTGCTCCGCATGGATGGACTCGGCCTCCAAAACAGAGGAATCGGAAGCATGCTCCGCATGGATGGACTCGGCCTCCAAAACAGAGGAATCGGAAGCATTCTCGGTCACGGAGCCATCGTCCTCCATGCCCTCCTCCTCTTCCTCCTCGCAATCCATGCTGTCATCGCAACTGATACCCTCGCTGTCCGAGGTGTTGTCATCTTCGATTTCCTCGCGGGTAACAGCTGGGACATAGAACTGCGTCTGTTTGCTCACACGCTTGTCCTGAGCATCTCGCGGATAGATCGTGTAACGGAAGTCATTGCTGCAGGCAATTTGCTCACGAGCCCGTTGCTCATAAGATGCTGCAGGTGGAGTTGGCGGTGGTTTCGGGACCTGCGACCCAAGACGAAAGCCGTCGAGACGAAGGATTACTTGCTCCTTGCTGCCCCTGACCGTCAAAGAGTGCTTGACGCATAGTTTGCGCAGGTCTCGGATAGACATCTGGCGCATCTCCTCAACCACAGGCAGCTCCATGTCTTCCACAGACAAGACTTGGTCAGGAAAGCTGTGCTTGCGTAAACATGGCCTACAGGGCCTAGGCCTGCTACTGTCTGCGGTGTTTGAGGTGGAATCAGAATCAGTCCAGTCACTATCGGATATCGCAAATGCACGCAGGAGCTGTCTCCGACAAAACTGCAGGACCGCCGGAAGAGTCATGAATCATGCTGGGGTGCAGCTGTGGAACACGTCACTTCTCAAAGCACTTCCCGAGGGCACTTCCGAAACGTTCTAGGAAGTCGCACTTCCGAAGTCTGGTTTGCAAGGACCGCAATCACTGCAGGAGCAGGCCTGCCCACGGAGCTCGCTCCCAGGTCGGATGGCATCAGCCTCGGGGGGCCATTCCGGACCGCATTTAAACGTGTGTATGTACGTGTGTGCGTAGGTAGTCCTTCATAGAACCATTATATGGACCCTTAAAGGAACCCTGGAGTCCCGGAAGCCTGAACCCTTCAAAGCCTCTGAGCCGATATCGTCTCGGAAGACCATATCCTTTCAGGGGTTTAGGGATTCAGGGGTAGGGGTTTCAGGTTTAGGGTTTCAGGTGTTCGGCTTAGGATTCGGGGTTTGGGCTTCAAGGTTTACTTCTTGTCTGGATGTGGTGCGTTCCCGGTCCTTTCCCTTTCGAAACAAATTAAATAAAGTACCTTTCCGAGAACTCCAATATGCTCTCTAGCGTACTTGTGCTCATCATGTGCAACTCAACGCAAACCAAAACATGCCAGTGCCATGCCAAAGCCATGCCAAAGGTTTGTTCACTTAACAACTCTCAAGGCTCAACAAAACACAGTTCTCAACTCAAGTTCAAGGCAAAACAATCTCAGAGGATCAAGGGCACCTAAAGAAGGTATTTCTTTCACAATCCTTGTTCTTTTACTTTTTGGCCCCGTAGAAGCGAATGAATGGTTTCTCCTTGCATGTTGTTGTTAGCGGTGGCAGTCGTTGCAAGAAAGTACTAGCAAAATCATGGTCACAGTTGACAAAATGTGGATTTATGATTATTCTTTTCCGTTATGGCTTCCTGAAAGCGAAAATGAGTTTCTCCTCTTTGTATGTTGTTTTTAGCGATGGCAGTCGTTGCAATGAAGAACTAGCAACATCATGATCGTCGTTCATATTTTTTGCTTTACGTTTTGGCTGCCAGAAAGCGAAAGCGAGTGGTTTCTCAAAAGTGAAGGGTCGAGGGAGGCGCAGCTTCCTGAGGGGCGGAGTCCCCCCCTTGAAAATGTTGCTTTACCTTTCTTTTACTTTTTGGCCCCCCAAAAACCGTTCCTTGTATGTTGTTCTTAGCGGAAGCTTTGGTGCAAAATCATGGTAGTAATTGAAAAAATGTTGGTTTGTCTTTTTTCTTTTGTTTTTGGCCCCTTAAAAGCAAGAATGAGTGGTTTCTCCTTCTATGCTGTTCTTAGCAGTAGCGGTCGTTGAATTAAAGTACTACATAATTGTAGTAGTCGAACAAATGTTGCTTTATCTTTGTTCTCCGCCCCGTAGAAGCGAAAATGAATGGTTTCTCCTTGCATGTTGTTGTTAGGGGTAGCAGTCGTTGCAATGGCGCGAAGCACTCTTTCCGTACAGGCGAAGTCTTGATTTTGGACCCAACAACATAAAACGGGCGATGATATGAAATCTTTGACAGATCACAGCCTCCTGCAGGTCATGTCGATGAGCGGTACTTCAGAGTTTGAAGCATCACCCGAGTGGCGAATTGATCAATCTTTGTGTTGCGACTCGCTTCCTTGAAGCCGTACATACATGCAGACATGCCCATAATCACACATAAATAGACACCACGGACAGGTAGACACAGACGTACACAGACAAATGTACATACACATACACATACAGATCAGAAACCTAGATGCAACCGCATGTGTCGAGTGTCTCACATGACGACTTCTGTTGTAGCTCTGTTTTCATGTCGCGGCGGCATGTTCGGCCCCTACAAAGGGTTCTATGAAGATTCTTTTGAGGGTTCCTATAAGGGTTCTGTGAGGATTCAGGGTTTCGGGAGCGTGCGACATACGACCGAGAACCCGGCCACGGAGGCGACAGCATCATCATCCAAGACCTGGGAGACGGGACTATCGTAGATGCGGGAGTCTTGGGGGGATCGGGCTGGGGTTCGTTTCGGGGCTCAAGCTTTGCAAGCACGACCGGCAAACTGGGAAATCACGGAAAGGAAGCAAGCCCAAAGAACCCACCCCGAAACCGCACAAGCTCGAATGCAGAGGACGAGGTCGCGGCCAATGCATCCGGAGCATGCCTGCAAGGTACAAAGATGTTAAATCCAAGGAAGGGAAGTACGAGAGGGCTGGGGTAGGACG